GTGAACTTTCTGGTGTACATGCAGATTCATCCCATCTGAAGTATATAAAGGAGTTTTGGCAACTGTGTGTAGTTGTCTAACAGCTGTCACAGTCGCTGTATTGAGATTTCTGTCACCTCTCAGTTCCCAGTCAGTCATTTCCTCCTATCCCAAGTCCCTAGCAAACACTGGTCATCTTTCTGTGACAGTAGCTGTGCCTGCTTTAGACTTGCCCTATCAGTGGCGTCAGGAAGCAAGGATCTGATCCCTGGGCCTTCGGTGTGAGGTGCGGTCTTGGGCATGTGGCATCTTCTCTTTCATGATAGTATTCCACTGTAAGAAATACTGTCTCACCCACTGGTGAGATACCACAGCCTCACCCATTGGTGGAAATTGTTTCCCAGTTTGGGCATGATATAAATAAAATTGCTCTGAACACTGAAGTACCAGTCTTTGTGTGAATATACTTTCATTCCCCATAGGGAAATACCTACCAGGATTATTGGTTCAGATGGGAATTATAGGCCCAACATTGTAAGAAACTGTCAGACTGTTTACCAGACTATACCAGTTTTCTTTTCTGCCAACAGTGTGAGGGATCCAGTTGCTCTCAAAACTGCCATCCATCCTTCATGTTTTCTTAAATAATAAAATGCCATTTAAAGAGGTTAAGAGAAATCCACACATCTGCTGGACATGGTGGCCCACCCCTGTAATCCCAGCACTCGGGAGGCTGAGGCAGGAGGCTCATTGCAAGTTTGAGATCAGTCTGGGCTACAAAGTTAGCTCAAGGCCAGCCTGAACGGCATAGCAAGACTCTGTCTCAAAAAGACAAAAAAAATAAAAAGAAAGAAATACAAACATGTACACATTTGCACATGCATTGTTATGTTTACCTCCAAAGTTATCATTTCAGCACCCCAATTCTTTACTCCATCCTGAAGGGGTGTGGGGCTGGCTTTTCTTCTGGTGTCATTTCCCTTTAGCCTAAAGGTGGTAGTGTTTCTTATAGTGCAGTTATGCTGGTGATACATTTTCTTCATTCCTATGTATCTAGAATTGTCTTTTCTTGCCCTTGTTATGGATGTAAAGTTTCACTGGAGGTTTTTTTGTTGTTGTTTTAGTTTTTAGCTCTGTAGAGTTGTGTTCTTTTTTTGGTCACCTTTGTTTCTGATGAGACATCAATAATTATGGTCTTATTACCTCTTATAGAATATATTGGGGTTTTTTTCTGACCATGTTTAAGATTTTCTTATTTTGCATTTCAGCATTTTTTTTTGTATGATATACTTAGGCGATAACGGACTTTGTGGATCTGTAAGTTTATGTATTTTGTCACATTTGGGAAATTGTTTGCCAATAATTGTTTTCACTTTTTTCCTTCATTCTCCTTCACTTCCATTGTGGGACTCACAATAAATGTATTATGGATACTTTCTTTTGTTTTGTTCTTTGTTTTTTCTCCAGTACCAGGAATCGAACTCAGGATGTTGCACTTGCCAGGCAGGCGCTGTGCCGCTGAGCTAAATCCCCAGCCCTCATGGATCATGTTTTTATTGTCTGATAAATCACTGAGACTTTCTGCAGCCTTTTCAGTCTTCTACCTCTCATGGTTCTCAGGCTGATCTGTCTTCCATTTCCTGTATTTAGGCTAGGGGAGTGGCATACGAGTTCTGCTGTTAAGATCTGATTTTTCACTTCAGATACTCCCTGATTTGGTTTTTATTTTTTATTGTTTTATAGTTTCTGTTCTTCGTCTAAGGTTTCCATGTGTTCTTATGCTGTGACCTTACTTCCTGAAAGTCCTTAAACATCTTCATAATGACTACTTCAAGCTCCTTGTCTGTGAGGGTCATCACAGGACTGCCTTTTTCTCTAGATGGAGCTCTCTGAAGTGTTCCAGTATGGACAGTCAGTGGTCCGATCCTGACTTCCCCTGCCGGGGACCATGACTGCCCGTCTCAGTCCCTTGCCTCCCACCATTCAGGCCCTATGTTCCTGCTTCTATGTTTTCCTCCCACAGGGGAATTGCAGAGATGTTTATCTCTTCACTTTTCTCCCCTCATGTGTTACCTGTGTTGTGTGAGCTGGCCCAAGGGGAGGTGTGGAAACAGGACTTCAAGGCCCTGTCTTTGTCAGAAGTCTGTTTTCTCCAAAGCAAGGTAGTTTGTACAGTTGAGAAATATCTTGAATCACTGATAACTTCATTAAAATACTTGAACTGAATGAAAGTCTCCTTTCAGCAGTATTTTCACCTAAATACCGCCTTTTATATATTCCCTTTCTGTTACAAATGTTTTTAAATCTGATTATTTACATTTAACTCAAACATACTCCAAAGAAATCATTTTCTGAGAACTACAACTGAATTGTAATATTGGAGATAGAAGTAAATGTGCCTGGCATTATGTAAAGAACTTAATTACAAATGCGATACAGGTATACACAGTGCTATAGTGTATATGTGTTGTTTCTAGTGTTGCTCTGTTTTTTTTTAGATATAAATTTATTTTTGAAAAATAGAATAATGTAAGGCTATACATTTTCCTTTGAGTATAATGTAGCTGCATGCATGGATGCAGTTTTAGGAGATTGGAGAGCTGATAATTCACACCTGAGAATTTGTCTTATTTATTTGATGGTTTTTATATATGACTGTATTTAATCATAGCAGCCTTGATTTTTCCCCCTCCATTTTGGATTTGAAGGACAGTTACTTTCCCGAGCGGTGCAATGTATGAGTGCCGGGATGGAAACTTGAATTTAAGCTGTCGGACTCCAAATTGCTGTTCCTACCTCATTGCCTTTGTTCTGATAAACTTCCTGTGTGGCTCGTTGTCATTATTTTCTCAATATTCTCAGTTTCCATTTCCTGTTGTGCCAAAAGTTACTCATTTAATAATGTTTTCTTGCTTGTTTTTAATATTTTAATTATATAACAAGGCCTTAACTATAGTTCTTTTTTGGTAGGTCAGAGAGTGCTGAAATTTTTTTATTATTAGTGTTTAGACTTATTGTGCTTACAGAATTTGTCATCTTGTAGAGTGTATTGTCCTAATTTCATGTTTAAAATTTCTTAATATTTTCGTAGATTTTAGTAAATAATCACTTTTAAAGGTCATCTGTGCCCTAATCTATCTCCAGATTAACAGACGTCAGATACACTATTCATGGGCTATGTTTACGAGATGGATGTCCATTTGATTTTTCAAATAATTTCTATCATTTTTATTTGGTTATTTGGCAAAAAGTAGTGTTTTTAATAACTCTGAAGTTTGGATAACATTTAAGTCTCAGAAAATAAACATGATTAGAAATTTCCTCTGCAAAAAGAAAGTATAGTTTTACATAAAATAATAGAACTTCCTTATTCACAAATTTTATGTTTCTACAAAAATGAAGAAATTAATTTAAAATATCTTAATCAAAAGTTTGGATAACATTTTGTGGGCTTTCTTCTTTTCGCTTTGCTTTACATAGATTATAATTTATGACATTTTGTTAGATTTTTTTTTGAGACAGGGTCTCACTATGTAGTTCAGGCCCTCCTTGAACTTAGTATGTAGTCCAGGCTAGCCTTGCAGCGATCCTCCTGCCTCAGCCTCCCAAGTGCTGGGATTACAGGTGTGTGCCACCACACCAGCATTTTTGTTAGATTTTAGAAATAAGTGAATTGGTTACATTTCTCTCATGTCTATGGAGATAGGATGGTAACTTTTGATTAAGATATTTTAAATTAATTTCTTCATTTTTGTAGAAACATAAAATTTAATTAAGAAAAAAAAAATTAAGAGAACTCCGGATTTAGAAAAACCAAATTAAACTTTAAGATGTGTCTGTTACTGCATTATTATTATTTTCTGTTTGACTTTTTTTTAACAGTAGATGTTTTTCTATTAGCACATGTCTGCAGCCTGCAGGGATCATGTTCATCGAGGGGAGCTGCTGTGTGTACCTCACATTGCATTTTTATCACCCCCTCCCCCTCCATGTGTCTCTGCACCTTCCATCTCTTGGTCCCTTCCCACTGGCAAAAGCTCTATTTCCATTTCTTTTCAATTCTTCTTTTTCCATTCCTGTCTTTCTATCCTGCTGTCTTTCACTCTGTCTTATTTAATATTATCATTCCTATGTGTGTGCTGTGATTTAAAAAAACACAGTGATGTTTAAGTTTTTTTTAAAAAATATTGCAACGCATTGTCATTAATTCTCCCTCAGAATCCTCCGCCTCACTTCACACACACCTACCCATCACTCGCCCGCAGAAGCGGTTCTGAAAGTCCTCGCTCGTGACTGTCTTTAGCTGCGCTGTCCTGGCTGCCTCCGTGTCCCGAATCGTTCATAACATTGACCTTCCAGGGTCACATTGACTTCGGGGAAGAGCCAGACGTCACACGGGGCCAGGTCCCGTGAGTAGGGTGGATGAGGACACTGTCACGTGTGCACCAGCCGCCTTTCTGTGGGGTGGCCCTCGGCGGCCACTGTCCTGGTATTTGGATCACACCTGGTAAAGACACTCAAGAAGGAGGACTCCAGAACTGCTTTAGGAAGCGGCAAGGATGATGGGATGAGCGTGCTCCAAGGGAGGAGGCGTGTTTTGAGGAAGATCAGTGGCAGCGTGTCTTTCACTATAGCCAAAACTCTTAAATGTAAACATCTACAGTATATCTCAATCACGTGTATATATCTCTGTTCAATTTGTTGTCTGTTTCCCTTGGCCACACCTCTGAGCTTAGTAAAAATGAGTCTGTCCCATCTGCCTACCTGCCCCTCTCGGGAACACATGGTCTGAAGGTGCTTGATCCGTGTTTAAAGAATGGATCAGCTGTGGCTTCCATATGAACCCAGAAGTCTCAAGTGACACGACCGGTGTCAGCCGCCACACAGCCAGCGAGTGACGGAGTCGTGCTGGGCGAACTGGGCCTGGCTTTCCTGCTTCCCTCAGTCCAGGGCTCTACCTAATGCAAAGGGAAATGAATTTTATGTTTTAACAAAATATCTTCTCATTTCTTCCCTCACAGATATTGATGATGTCAAGAAGTACAAGCCAGGGTACCTGGAAGCTACCATCCATTGGCTGAAATTTTATAAGGTGCCGGAGGGGAAGCCAGAAAACAACTTCGCTTTTAATGGAGAATTCAAAGACAAGGTAAAGATGAGACTGTATTTTCCAGGGTTCCCCAGTGCCTGTACAGTGCTTGTTCCCCTTAGGCAAGTTCTTGTGTGAATAATGCTCTATTTGGCATCAAGAAAAACTACTTTTTACTGACTTAGGTATTTGAAGACATTATTTTATCATTTAAAAAATTTGGGGCCGGATGTGATGGTGTACACCTGCAATCCCAGCTTTCGGGAGGCTGAGGCAGGAGGATTACTGTGAGTTGGAGGCCCACATGGGCTGCATAGTGAAACCCTGTCTCAAAAACAAACAAACAAAAAAAATGCAGGGGAGAATCTAAGTGAATCAGTCAGCCTGAAAAATATCTGTTTCTCTCATCTATGAATAATATCTCCTTCTACATAGAAAATGAAGGAATTCTGTGATCAGTTAATTCTGCAAATTATAGTTGAAGAAAACCCTCCACTTGCTAATTTCAGGGGGAGAAAGTTACCCTTACTGTAAATTCTTAAGACTTCTCTCTGAAATCTTCCTCCTGCATGGCTGATCTCAGCTGCTTCATGATTCAGAATGCACTTGAATTCTCTATCAAAAGATTTCTCTATTAGACAACTAAGCTACCATCAAGTATCTCTAGTAAGATACAAAACAGGCCAAAGAGCCAACATCCAAAAACATGGGCTGTTTTTAGAAAAATTATCCCACTAAGTAAATTGCAGAGTTACTGAGCCAAATCCTGAATGGATCCTAATAAGTATATTTTACAAGTAGAGAGAAGGCATGTTATTAAAAACTTAAAATTTACCATATTTTGCCATATAGGAGTTGATTGTTGGACCCAATAGTTTTTGGAAAGTATATTGACAGACCTTAATATCTTGAGGGCTTTGTTTAGGATTATTAGATGCAAATATAGAACTATGATTTTAGACTGGATTTTCTTAAAAAATACAATATTAGAAATTTATAAAATAAATTATTTTTTCTTCAAATTACATGTTATATTTTATGTTTGAAATAATAGACATTTCAAACCGGTATTGTACTTTCATGGACCCTTATTAACTCTAAGTTAAAGTCCACCAGTTACGGATTTATGGAGTGAGATGTTTTTTGTGTGTTGTTTATTTTTGACAAACATTAATTCGTTATTGTAAGAAAACCAGGTCATTTTTACACTTCTGAAAATAATAATTTTATGCATTGCTCTTCACCATTGCTGTTGAAAATACAGAGCCTCACTTAAGGAAACATAATTGTGCCTCTTTAAAGTGATTGAAAAACGGTTCCTATTTTATACTGTGGGGTGTTCTTGCCTATTCTTGTAAGCGATAACTATAATTGGTCCCAAATAGTCACTATCATTGGACTGATTTGGGTAAAAGTCTTTCCTGTGTGGTCCAGAGAGTCAGCTGCTATTCCAGCCCGTATCTTAAGGGAGTTCCCGAGGCTCCTGGCTGAGCTCTGCCCCGCTCTGTCCTCACAGCCCTCAGTCCTGAGAGGTCTGCGACCCCGGGGCTGAGTTCCCCGTGGTTGTTATGTCTCAGAACACAGGATTCTTTTCTGCATTATCACAATATCCATTGTGCTTGAAGGAGAAAGGAAGAAGTATTGAGTAGTTGATAAATAAAAACTCTCTTTGAAGAAAAAAGCACTTTGAGGAAGAGCATCAAAAGAATATTCTCCTTTGGGATAATAAAGCAATTTTCCTTAGTCTCATTAGATGTATATCTAGCAAGATGTGTGTCTCTCGTTAATTGTGCATTATAGACGCCTTAGGAATTGGGACTAAGAAAACATATGGAAAATGTTAAGGAGGCTTATGGCTTGGTGACCGTGGAGGGTCCAAAGCACTTCACGATTAAACTGTGGTTGGAATGGTAATAAACAGGGACATGCTCTCCTGCAGGCCAGTTGCTACTTCACGTACTTTGCAGACAAGATCTTTGTTATTCCTTCAACAGCTCTACGGTATTGATCAGGGATTGGCAAACTTTTTTTCTGTACTGGGTCAGACAGTAAATATGTTGGGCACTGTGGACCCCATGGTTGTCAGAATTACTCAGCTCTGCTATTGCAGTGCTAAAGCAGTCAAAGGCTAAAAGCTGGACTTGACCCACAGGGCCTGGTTTGCCAGTCTCTGATACGGATGATACCCACCATAGCCCATTACACAGATGAGGAAGTTGAGGCTCAGTTCAGTTAGATCCCTACCCCTAGTCACACAGCAGGTAAACAAGGAGCCCAGAATTTACACTCCAGTGTGCCCACTCCTGAGCTCTGCGCTTCACGATTAACTGACAGGATGACATCAGTTCTGTGTCAGTGCAGCGGTGTGACTGTTTTGTCTTATTTGGGTTGGAACTAGGCTTTTGCTCTGGACATCATTAAGTCTACTCATGAATGCTGGAAAGCGATGCTTATGAAGAAGTGTGATGCAGGGGCAATAAATTGGTAAGAATCTGTCTTTTTGGTGTAAGTAATGTTATTCATTACGTCTCATACTGCTTGGGTCTCAGATTTTTTAAGGGACTTGCATTATTTCCCACTGAAGAGGTAAATTGTGGGCCGTCTGTCATGGGTGTTACTGGGGCCTGGCAGTGGGAGTGGGCATGGTCGCTGTCCCCAGCTGCATTTTAGTGGGAGAAGCTAACAAGTAAATAAACGCTTGATTGGATTCCACTGTGACGTGCGCAGACACGGGGCTTGAAACAGCATTGTTCAATGGGCGGATACGCGGTTATTTCGTTGTCTAAGAACTATCACATTCTTTGACAGGATCAGGAAAAGCCTTCTCATCCACTGTGATCTTGACGATTAGCTGACTGATTAACAGGAATCAAACAGTAGTGTGCATAACTCTTTTTAAAATTTAATCCTTGGGGCATACGCTAAAAATACTTGGATACTTGGGACACATTACACTAAAAGTATGAACTGAAGTTCAGATGTACTTGGCAATCTGTATTTTATCTGACACTCCTATGGAGAGAAGACCCCTCTGCCCTTCCTCATGATCATTTTCCAGAATTTACAAAGAATATGTCTTGGTTTAGTTGAAATATGAGAAGCATTGTGTACCCCTGCCTTTTTCAGAGGACTAGCCCTTAGGACTTTGCAGGGTCCAGTTTTTTGCCTGGTTTCTCTCTCTTCTCCTCCTCCTCCTCTCTCTCTCTCTTTCTTCTCTCTCTCCCTCCCTCCTTCTGTCCCCCTCCCCGCTCTATCTCCTTTACCCTCATTAGGGGAGCGTCTAACGTATAGGCCCTACCTTTTCAAATTTTCAATTTACTTAAAGGTGAACTGTATAGAAGACAGTACGAAAAAGCCATAGAGATGATAGTGCCAACCTTCATCAGGTTTCATTCATGCCAAGAATGAAAATAAGTCCCACATTATGGGGATGGAACCCAAAGTAACTACTTCCTGTAATCGTTGTCATCAATTACAGACAGATATAGTTTTAAAGGTAAATCAGCAAGCAGAAAGGGTCTTCTTTTTGGTCACAGGTGTCTGTGTATTTCACAAAGTAATTATGAAAATAAATTCGATATGTATATCCCTTAGGGCCATTTGAAAGGGAAATGTGTTTGTGTTTCACTGATCATTTATCTTGGTTAGGAGATAATCATTGTTAATCCCTTATTCTTTTCACTTAAAAAATAATAGCTTTCACTCTCTCCTCCCTTACCTCTTACTACCTCTATCCATTTTCATCTGCTAGTTTCTTTGAGGGAATTTTTCAAATTAGCGCTGGATCAGCTTGGATCTGGGAGCAGGCCTGTGTGTGGTGCATGCTGGGAGACAGGAAAGGCCTTGAGCCCTCAGTGAGGTGTGGGGAGAGATTGCTCCTGCTCTTCTGCTGCCCTGAGCTACCCCCTTAGAAGAACTTGCATGATCATATAGCTTCCTCTTGTCTTGCACCTTTTATGCCTGCTGAGAGATTCCACAGTATCTTGCCTAGCCAAATAAAATGTTTATCACGTAGAGGAAAAGTTCTCCATAGAGTCCCATTGTGTGGGTCAAAATTTGATTCCTCTTTTCTTGAATAAAGGTGAAATGTAGTTGTGGTGTATAGCTTTGTATGTACACTGGGAAATTATGAGGGTTTGTATATTACTTTTTTGTTCTAAGGAATATAATGCTATTGTATATTCTGTTTGTAACTTCACCTCAAAGAATTACGATGGATGCACCTTGAGACCATAGTGTTAAGTGAAATAACTCAGACACACAAGCTGAAATAACACATGGTTTCTCTTATGTGAGAAACCCAAATCATAATAAAGAGCAGAATAAAAGATAGATAACAGGAAGTGGGGAGAGAGATCTTTCTCAAATGGGAAGGGGGCCAAGGGATGGAGGAGGTGGGTAGAGGGAAAGGAGAGGAGAACGGAATGAAGATGTGTGTGTGCACAAACTCCACATGGAGGTGTAGACGGTATGTGCTGCATACCTGGACTATAAAATAGAAATAAATTAACTTTGAAAAAAGAATGTGCAACAATTTTAGTCGTCCTAATTTATGTACATTTAATTCCTTGTTGCCTGTCTGAAGTTACCCAGCTTGGGAGGAGTATCTGGAGTTAGTACTCTTTTTTTGCTGATTGCTCTGCTTTATTGTGTCTAATAATACTTTCTTCCGCAGCACAAACTCCCAGGTGTGTGACAGCCCTTTCCGTTGCACTCAAGAGGAAGCGAGATCACTGGTTGAATTGGTAAGGAACAAATATGCGCAAGGCATCTTTTAGTCATATAAATGACACAGGAAGTCCAGCACCGATCCTGAAACACGGAGCAGTGAAGTACTGTGGAGCCCTTTTGCGAAGCATAAAGTGAAAAGCTAACGTTAAATATTGTTTTTTTAATTCAGGGAATTTAAATTCTAAACTTTAAAGAGTCTGAATTTTTAAATTCTATTTTAAAAAGGATATTAACCACTTAACTAATTTCACATGGTGCTGATTTTCTTAATTAGATCAACTTACTGATAATATATGTGGTTGTTTGTCTGCTGCATGAGATACCTGTCATCCAGGGTCTGAGCTGGGCCTGGCGCGTGGTACACATGCAGTTTGGCTCAAGAGAAGTGAAATAGAGGGAATTCTTTCTTTTTTGCTTCCCTTTGGCTGGGCTGTCTCACACGCCTTCCTGTGTACCGTGAGTGTCCCCTACAAACATAAGGGCTGTGGGACGATGAAAGACAAATAGAGCCGTCACCTTCCGACACCTCGTCTCAGAACAGTTCTGATGTCACAGCGTCTCTGTCACACTCAGACTTGGACTTTTCTCCATGTGAGGAAGCTTAACAGGATTTTTCTTCTTGTTTCAAGTACTTGGACATATTCAAGGATATTAGTAAAAAAATTTCCAGGGATCTTTTTTATTTACACAGTTGCATCATCCTTCCCTTGGATATAAAGAAAAAAAATTTTAAAGTCTGTTTGATCAAACTTTTCTTAAAGTTTAGGAAGAAGAGTAACATTAGCCCATTAGTGACCTGAGGGAATGCGTTAGTCAGAGTTTCCCAGAGAACGAGAACCGAGGGATGTGTACACAGCACTACCGCCCTGTGTTGGCCTTGGGGCCCTCAGATGATGATGATAGTCCCATAAGCTTGTGATGCATTGGGAAATGCATTGTTAGCCTCTGGTGACTTTGTAACTGGTGGTGCTGCTATAAAAAAGCCTCTTGCTTGGCCAGAGTTGCCACATAGAGGTATGGATGGTACCTGATTCCTGATAATGGTAACAGACGTTTCTGTCACTGGTTTGTGTGTTTGCCCTCCTGTACCTATCACCGCTTTTAGCATGTGCTCCTACCTACTTCCCTAAACCGAGAGTGTCGGGTGCAACAGTCAGCTGTGTGACCCTGGCAGCAGCCCCTATCTCTTGTCCACTGTTTCTCTTGATCATATCATTTTTCTTGTACTTGATTCTGTCTCCAGTTTGGTTTACTGTGACCCCTAATTATATAGAATCCACTGCTCATGTTGCTAGTAAGAGGCCACATCAAGTGTTCAACCCAGAAAAGGAATCGCAAGTAGGTAGGGGTTACTGAGGTGGAGAACCTGTGGTTCCTGCTGGCTAATCTAGTGTCCAGTCCCACCAGCACCAGTGTCGGGGCCCAGGAGCTAAGTGTCAGCAGCACAGCGGTAAAGGATCTGCTTCACTGGAAGCAGTGAGACCAGCCAACATTGGAGACCTCACGCAAGTGTTAGAGAGGCTTAGAGGAGAATGAGAACTCAGTTGTTGAATGTGAAATCTGGAAAGTAGAATGTGAAATGGGTATAAGTTCATGCCTGGCAAGGAGGAGCTTGTCACTGGGGAGTGACCTGTCACGTTCCATGTCTTGGCATCTTCTGTCTCAGGAAAACCATTCAAATGCGTCTGCCATGGACTACATCATCACCTCTGTTCTCAGAGTGCTGGCCCAGAACTCACAATAAATGGAGGCTATTTTTTAAAGTAAATCCAAAGCTCTTGTAGACAATTGAATTATTATGTGTGTGTATGTGTGTGTGTGTGGTTGTGTCCACACGCACACACATACACGCATGCACATGTATTTGAATGGGTGTGTTTGTTTGATTCTTTTGGTCCTCAAGAGTTCAGCCTTGGAAGCAATTGAAAGAATATCTCTTCACACTCTCAGCTACCATGTGCCGAATCATTCCAATGGGTTATTGATAGAAATATTTTCAAGCATGCACTTTTGCATTTGGTGCTACATCTGTGGTTTATCAGAAAGAGCAAACCATGGTAATAAAGGCAAAGGAGTGTATACTTTTTCAGCGTAGAGAGCTGCTGGGGGTCGGCTGTGTTCTGTAGTTTCATGAAAGCTTCGCTGGGTTCGCTTTCCATGCGTGACTAACAGGGACTGTGCCTCTGTTCTCACCCTTCAGGTCTCACCGGCTTCCCCGAGTAGAGAAAGCGATGGAGAAGGTGCGGTATATTTCGGTTCTCGAGGAGCAAGATATGCAAATATATTTGTTTACAGTAGCTGAAACCAAAAACTAAACTTTTAGAAATTATGCAAATTAAGTAAAATATTTTTAAAGTCATTAAAATTTTCAGAGGAAATGTTATGGAAGTGAAGAACAATACTTTTATTACTTTTGGCTTGAAAGTGGTTTGATTTTGCAGTGTCTTTTTTTGCTGAAATAGAGGCTAATTCTGGTGAATTTAAAAAGACTCCTAATATCTTGCATCTGGAAGATTTTCTTTATTTCTTATTTTAATGAGTCA